ATTGGTCCAGATTGTCTGAGAAACAGATGACAGGACTAGATTAGATATGTAACCTGCCATGAAAAATGAGAGGCAGCTAGAAGAAGTTGGGAGAGTCATCCACTTGACAAGGCTAAGGGTAAGGTTGACAGAATTCCCGAGTTGAATTCCGCAGGGGGAGTCTTGTATCAGGCAGGAACAGGCTTGCTTTAATATCTTTGTCCCTTTTAACCATTACCTGAGAGCAATCTGTGAGGTGCACATCTCAGTGCAAAGGTGGCGTGGACTGATATTATAGTACGGCAACAGGACTGACCACGCATCACACATTTTGAAGCAGTGTATCTGACAAGTGCATTTTCAAGACCACTATGAAGAACTTAAAGATAAAGTACTAATATTTAGCTAATTAAACAAGCTTCTTAAAAGACAATTCACAGTTTAAAGCAAAAATTCAAATCATATATTATTGGGTTTATAAAATGTAAAATAAAATATATAGCAACAAAAGCATATTCCTTTATGGTTTTTTATGTCAAGCATAAAATATTAAAATGCTATTTCAACGTACATTGTGATAGGAAAAATTTTCATATGGTTAATGCTATTAGCAACTATTGAAAAAATGAAATATAACTAATAAGCCAACAGAAGAGCTAAAAGAGTATACTAAAAAGAACTCACATAATTCAAATGAAGGCAAGAAAAGAAAGGGAAAATAGTAACAACAAGAGACCAGATGGGATGAGTAGAAAACAAATAGTGAGATTGTAGGCTCAACTCAATAATTACATTGAACATAAATAGTCCAAACATGCCAATTAAGAGACAGAAAAAGTTACACTGGATAAAGAAAATGCAAAACTCAACTACATGTCATTTAAATAAATCACAGTTTAAATATAAAGACATGTTTTCTTTCAAAATAGGAAGAAGCGGCGGGCATTGCGGTGCAGTGCATTAAGATGCCCCTAGGAAAGCCTGCGTTTCATATCAGAGTGCTGGTTTGAGCCCAGCTAATTCTGCCTCTGATCCAGCCCTGCTTCCCAGGGTCACTAGCAGAGAGCTGGTACTTGAGTTCCTGCTACCTATATGGAAGACTCTGTTGGAGGGCCTGGCTTCCTGGCTTTGGCCTGACCCAGCTTTAGCTGTTATGGCCCTTTGGAAAATAGAACAAGTGGATGGAAGATTCTCACTTTCTTTATCTATCACCCCTTCTTTCTCTCATTCTCTCTTTCCATGTCACTCTGCCTTTCAGATAAATAAATAAATGAATAAATAAATCTTTTAAAGAAAGATGGAGATGATATACTGTGCATGAATCAGTCATAAGAAATCTAGAAATAGCTAAATTAATTCCTGACAGTAAATTTCAGGAGTTGGAATAATAACAAAGATCATTAGAGCAATTTTTAAAAAGATTATTTATTTATTTGAAAGGCAAAGCCACAGAGAGGCAGAGGCAGAAAGAGAGAGATAGAGAGGGAGAAAGAGAGAGAATCTTTCATCCAAATGGCTGCAATGGCTGGAGCTGGGCTGATCTGAGGCCAGGAGCCAGGAGCTTCTTTCGGGTCTCCCACATGTGTTCAGAGGCCCAAGCACTTGGGCCATCTTCTACTACTTTCTCAGGCTATAACAGAGGGCTGGATATGAAGTGGAGCAGCTGGGACTCAAGCCATTGCCCATATGGGATGCTGATTTGTGATTTCTTTAAAATTTAATGTGTATGGGTGAAATGTCATTTTTCCATTCAATCGTTGTTTATAGCCATTGTTTATATTTCCACTAAACTATTTTTTTTTTTTGCTTTTTACTTGTTAAACTTCCTATTTGGTGAAGTATTAAGCCTTTTTTACTATAATGTAAATTTAAAATATGTTATCCCAGAAACAAACAAAAAATAAAAAGAGAAAAAAGGGAGAAGCATGGAGGGTTGGCGACAAAGAAGGGGGAGGGAGGAAAGGAATGTCATTATGTTCTTAGAATTGTATCTACTAATCACATTGAATCTGTTAAAAATTAATTAAAAATTAGAATAAAAAATAAAAAATGTGTACTTACTGTAGTAAATCTTATACCTTACACACATCTGCAACTATGGTATTGCTATCCCTGATTTTCCTGTAGGGACACTCTGTCTCAGTGATGCTAAATAATTTCTTGAGTTCATATAGCTAATGAATTGTATTGTTGGAATTTGATTTTTGTTGGTTTGTCCCCAGATCTTGTTCCCAGCTGCTGCACTTGGCATTTCTGACATTTAAGCCAAGTCTCCTTCTCTTCTTTAATGATTGTACCTTTGGAAAACATCAGCCCTTACTCCTTGATGGTTCTGTCAGTAAATATTCTAGCTCAGGACAACTCATCATCTTACATTTAGCTGATTCCCCAGTTTGTATTTTGGTCCTTTTTCTTCAAAGCTCTAGTAATCTGTTAGCATCTTCTTATTTATTTTCTTTTGCATCACACAGACTTATCCTTTCTATTCCTTGTTCTTTTCATTTCTGGCATCCTACCCATAGTTCTCTGAACCCAGAGTTTTAGTCATATTAGAATTGTGCTTCTTTCTTCTCTGTCCTCCAAAAAACTATAGATGTATCTAAACATTTTTTTTAAATGGCATTTTATTTTTAAAGGCAGAGAGACAGAGATTTTTCCATCTACGAGTTCACTTTCCAAGTGCCTACAACAGCAAGGGCTGGACCAGAGCAAAGCCTGAAGAATGGAATCCGATCCAGGTCTCCCATGCATGTGGCAGGGAGCAAGTAGTTTTTCACTAAAGGTTTGTTTATTTATTTATTTGAAAGGTAGACACACACACACACACACACACAGAGCGAGAGAGAGAGAGAGGGAGAGAAAGAGAAAGAGAAAGAGAAAGAGAAAGAGAAAGAGAAAGAGAAAGAGAAAGAGAGAGATCTTTCATCTACTATTTTAGTCCCCAGATGGCTGTAACAGGAAAACTGAGCTGATCCGAAGCCAGGAGCCAGGAGCCAGGTCTCTCACATGAGTACAGGCATCCTAGACTTGGGCCATCCTCTGCTACTTTCTCATGCACATTAGCAGGAAGCTGGATCAGAAGTGGAGCTGCTGGGACTCAAACCAGCACCTATTATGGGATGCTGGTGCTGCCTGCCAGGGCTTTAACCTACTGCACCACAGCGCTGGCCCCTACCTAACATTTTAATATGACAAATATGTCTATTGAAAACCAATTTGTATAGTGCAGACCACATAACATCTGATTGATTAAATTAATTTATGCCAATTTTTAGAACCTAAGTGACAACATTTAATATTTATACTTTTCAGCTGCCAACTTTTCTCTCTGGGAGGCTCTCTTTTTTTTAAACTGAAGCTTTTAGATTTCTCTTGTGTAGGATGCAAGGTATTGTTTTCAACACTTCTTGAATGCTGTCTTATGACTAATCAGGTACTTGAGGGTCAGTGCTGTGCTGTATGTACATTTTGTACCTATGTGTATGACAGGAGTATGTTCTAACCCATGTCTCATGTATATTTTAACATTAGCACTAAATAGAACAAGGAAGCCATTATACAGAGATTCAAGTTTTGGGAAAAGACAGTTCTACCTCAAAAATAACTTAATCAAGAATATTTGTTTCATTGCTTCTCTCTTTAGAGAAGCCTTGTTTCATTTGAAATAAAACCCTGATGCATTGGAAATGAAGTTCCCATGGAAACCATCTCTGAAGTGACAAAAACTGCAGAGCTTTCCCTGGCGTTGCATTGTGCATACAAGAACGCTCTGAAGACCTCAGAGAAAGGTGAACATTTAATGAACCCCCAAGGCCCTCGTAGACTTTGAGTTTCAGAGCGTGCTTTCCTTCTGGGATTTCTTTTCATTTTTCGATAGTAGATTTTTTTTCCCCATTTGTAACTTTTTGTGCAGTGGGATTGAGAATAGGGATTTGGGATTCATTAGAAACACTGTGGGATGTGGACAGTTCTAAGTGTAAGTCGATCGATGGAACAGCATCATTGCTGAGACTGAGCTGAGGGTGGAGAGTGGACTCTTGATTATCTGACAAGTTGGCATTTAGAGCTTGACAAGATCTGGTATTAATTATGTGGTATTAATTAATACTTGCATCAGCGTATAGTGGGGGAAATCAAGGAGATGTCTTTATTTTCATGGCTGGAGTCACTCAAATAATTCTTGGATTGAGTGAAGTAGTGAATCTCTCTCTGAAATCTGATGCCTCCTAATTTGACTTTTCATAGATCTAACACTTGATGCTGCCTTTAAAATCATTTATTTTTTAATCTATGAAGAGTCTCCTGAGATCCTCGTTGGTAAAAACGCTGTTCAGAGACTCCATTATCACACTCCGAGAGGGGTGGCGGAGCCAGTGATGAAGCCCCTGAATAATGGACATGCACAGACAAGGGTTTCAGTCCAGGTTGTGAATCTTTCAGTTGTGTGTGCTCTTCATGTTTAGAGTGAAGATTTAAAGATATAATTTATGAAGTTATTGTGAATGATAAATTTGGCAAAGTAATTTGTCCAGTGTTGTTGGATTCTTGATATCCATTTGAGGGTGCTGGGTTAGATTCAGTATTTGATATGCAGTTAGTATACAATACGAGATAGCAAGAATTATTTTTCCCTACAGTGCTTTGCTCTTAATTATGCTTACAAAGATATAACAAAATAACAAGTCATTAAAAGCCACGAGAAGCATATTCAAGAGTGTATACAAACACAAACACTTCTTCCTTGGGGAAAGTGGGCTGTGGGTAATGGTCCTGTGGGAGCCTCTGTAAATAGTGCACCATCTCTAATTTATAAAGAACTCTTCACTCTCCTGTTTTCTGTGGTGTCATCAAAGCTTGCTGTCCCATCCCTGGAAGATGGATAGGAAACTCTAGGCCAAGCTACAATCAAAGGTCATATCCTCCAGTTCAGCGAAATATCCTCAGATAACCTAGAGGCTTTGATCCTGCAGGCAGAAGCAGAGGGGTCTGAACCATAAGCTGTCACCTTTTTTTTTCCCCAGGGCCATTTGCATCTCCAGGAAAGAAATGGATGGAAGCCAGTAGAAGACAGCACTGTGGCTGCAAACTGAAGAGGGTGAGTGACTGCCTGACCTACTGTGTCCTGCAGGGGAATGTTGAAAAGTTCAAAGCACAGGAGCCAGATTAATTGAGTTCACCTGCTGTGGTAACTCAGAAGCGGCAGACCCTTATGCAAGTTGCCTGGGCCTAGTGTCCTCATCAGTAGAACCGGGTAGTTATAATGCCACACGGCGTTTAGAACAATGCCTTTCTCACAGTTAGTGCTAAGTGAATGCTTCTCTTTTCTGCTTCCTTGTCCCTCCGCTTCACTTCCATGGTGGGTAGCCTTCTGTATTTCTCTCAGTGACTCTTCTTTTCCCTTCATAGTTTCACCTGGAGGAAATGACGGCAGAGAACTCCTCCGTGACCCAGTTCATCCTCGCAGGCTTAACCGATCAGCCAGCGCTCCGGGTCCCCCTCTTTTTCCTGTTTCTAGGTTTCTATGTGGTCACCGTGGTGGGGAACCTGGGATTGATAATGCTGATTAGGCTGAACTCTCACCTGCATATTCCCATGTACTTCTTCCTTTTCAATTTGTCCTTCATAGATTTTAGTTACTCCACTACCCTCACCCCTAAAATGCTGATGGGTTTTATGTCTAAGAAAAACATCATTTCCTATGCAGGATGTATGACTCAGTTCTTTTTCTTCTGTTTCTTTGTCTTTTCTGAATCCTATATCCTGTCAGCAATGGCATATGACCGTTATGTTGCCATCTGTAAACCATTGTTGTACACAGTCATTATGTCTCCCCACGTCTGTTTGCTTCTTTTGTTGGGTGTCTATGGGATGGGTGTTTTTGGAGCTGTGGCCCATATGGGAAACTTAATGTTTATGACCTTTTGTGCAGACAACCTCATTAATCACTACATGTGTGATATCATTTCCCTCCTTGAGCTGTCCTGCAATAGCTCTACTATAAATTTGCTGCTGGTGTTTATTATTGTGACCATTGGCATTGGGGTGCCTATTGTTACCATATTCATCTCTTATGGTTTTATTCTTTCCAGCATCCTGCGTATTAGCTCCACCGAAGGTAGATCCAAAGCCTTCAGTACCTGCAGTTCCCACATAATGGTGGTATCTCTTTTCTTTGGATCAGGAGCTTTTATGTACCTTAAGCCACCTTCTATTTTGCCCTTGGATCAGGGAAAAGTGTCCTCTGTTTTCTATACTGCAGTGGTGCCTATGTTGAATCCATTAATCTATAGCTTGAGGAATAAGGATGTAAAAATTGCCCTAATGAAAACCTTGAATCGAAAAATTTTCCTTGAAGGTGTTTGAAAGCCAGTCCAAACTTCATGGGTCAGAGTGTTTCTGTTATGTATGATTATCCATGAATGAGACAAAATTCAGTGCCTCCTTCCCTTATACTTAGAGGAAGTTTTTACCTCTTGTTCTAAAGCACACTATTCCAACAATTTGTTTTATGAAAAATGTTTGTACAATTATAGAGTTTTGAATCTCAAATAAGCCTAGGAAATCATTTAACACAGCTCCGTATGCTGTGAGTACAGCAGCACAGGAGACTACTAAATATTTTGTAGGTGACTTATAAAAACACATGCATCTGCTGCCGGAGCTGACAGTGGAAGCCAGGTGACTGAATTTTAATCCAATTTATTTTACTTCCCTTTAGCCATGCTTCCTTGTTTCATCTTTTATCTGGTCAAGTTCAGTGTTTGTTATTGCTGTTGTATTTGGCATTGAAATAAGTCTAATTCTGTTTATAGTGATACCATCGATTATTCATGTGTTAATTTTTGGAATATAATTTTTCTAAGTGTTTGAGGTGAAACTATGGTTAATTTGGTCTTGACAATGAGATAAATGTTTTTTTAAAAAATGTGGGCTTTGTGAATAGGAGCTATGTTAGCTTCCACATAGAACCAAGCATGTGTGCTTCTTGTAATGGTGTTCAGAGCCCAAGGGACCCAGGCTAATTTAGAGCTTCTAAAGGAGAAATACACAGATGTAAGGAAGCTGAAGATTTTGAATGCAAGCTTCATTCATTATTTCCAGACTAATGAAGATAGAACATGGAGAATCACCTACTCTGAAAAATGTGACTTCGTAATAGATGTCTTTGGGTTTGTGAACCACTAAAGACATAGCAACCAATGAGTTATTAGGGGAGACAATTGACATTTGCATTTTAAGGTATTGCGTATATCTGCCATCTTCAAAAAGTACTGCTTAAAGTAAAGGAATGGTGTATCAGGAAAAGTAACATATTTACAGCATTGGGTAAATGGAGGTATAGCTTTATATAAAGAATCAGAAGAATAATTTTGGGGTCTGAACACATTATTCATGGTAACATCTTGCAGAAACAATAGCATGTGAAGTGTTTGGAGGACAATTGGACTTGAGGACTTTTCTTATGAAATTTCTATTAAAAAAGGAGTTTGGAAAATTGTTTCCTTTGGAATTATTCTGTTCAATCAGAATGTAATTAAAGGAAGAGAAATGTAGGGGATGAGTATTCTTTCAAAAATACAGTAGAGGAGAAGATCAGTAAATTCAGGATGCTTGTGTGGTCATGAATCAGTACAACATAGGTGAGTGGAAAAACATCTCTTGGGGCCAGCACTGTGGTGTAGCAGCTAAAGCCACTACCTGTAGTGCCAGCATTCCATATGGGCACCGGTTTGAATCCTGGCTGCTCCACTTCCAATCCAGCTCTTTGCTATGGCCTGGGGAAGCAGCAGAAGATGGCCCAAGTCCTTGGTCTCCTGCGCATGTGTGGGAGACCCAGAAGAAGCTCCTGGTTTCTGGCTTTGGATTGGCACAGCTCTGGCCATTGCAGCCAATAGGGGAGTGAACTAGCAGATGGAAGACCTCTCTCTTTCTCTGTCTCTCTTTCTCTGCTTCTCCTTCTCTCTCTATGTAACTCTTTCAAATAAATAAATAAATAAATAAATAACTCATCCTTTTTTAAGTTGAAGCATAAATTTATACATCAAAGTGCACAAATGTTAAATGTTCAATAATTTTCTTCATATCTGTAAGAGTTTGATTACATACAACTACCTATAGCAAAGTATTAGTGATTTTCATCATTTCAGAATATTATTGTCTGTTATTTTCCCATTAATTACTCCTATGTTTTCTTTTCCTAGAAATATATACTATCCTTATTTAAATAAAAGATTTATTTTTTTTATTTGAAAGAGTTGCACAGAGAGAGAAAGAGAGGCAAAGAGAGAGAGAGAGAGAAAGGTCTTCCATCCACTGGTTCACTCCCCAGTTGGCTGCAACAACCAGAATTGCACTGATCCGAGCCAGGAGCCAGGAACTTCTGCTATGCGGGTGCAGGGGCCCCAGGACCTGGGCCATCTTCCACTACTTTTCCAGGCCACAGCTGAGAGCTGGATCAGAAATAGAGCAGCTGGGACTTGAACTGGCGTCCTTATGGGATGCCAGTACTGTAGGCGGTGGCTTTACCCACTATGCCACAGCGCTGGCCCCTATACTATTCTAACCTTTAGAGGCACAGATCTATTTTGCCCATTTTGAATTTGATATAATTGTTAAATAACATATTTACTCCTTTATGTCTGACTTCTTCAACTCAATGTATAGTGTCCTGTGAGATTCATTGGTAATGCTTTTCTTGGTTATTATTGCTTAGTATTTCATTGTATGAATATAGAACAGTTGTCTGGTCATTTATTCTCCTAATGGACATTTGGCTTGTTTTTGTTTTGCATATTATTAATAAAGCTGCTAGAAATATTCTTGTATTTTGTTTTAAATTTATTTCTCTTGGGTGTTTACTTGATTTATTGGGTCACAGGTAGGCAAATATTTATGCTTCTAAATACTACCAACTTGTCTTCTAAAACATTTACACTGACTTGCACTCTTACTGATAATTTCCAGGTAAGGAAGATCTTCATCCATGTGAACACTTGTTATTTTCAATATTTTTCATTTTGGTCACTGTGTTTAGTGTGTAGTACAGTGTTACTTTAGTCTTTCTTTGGTATTGCCCTGATAAACAATGATATTGGTCACTTCTTTTATGTTCATTAGATATTTGGATATCACACTCTATAAAGTGACTAAGTCTTTTGTGCACTTAAAATAGTCTTTTTAGTCTTTCTATTAGTTTGAGTTTTTTTAAAAGTATATTCTGAATATGAATCCTTTTTCAGACATATACATTGAAGTTATCTTTGCTCAGTTTGTGACTTGTCTATTTGCATAACTGTTTCTAACAATGTCTTTTGGTAACAGATATTTTAATTGTTACAGAGTTCACCTTATTAACTTCTTTTGATGTTAGTGCTTTGCCTTTTAAATTTTTTTAGAACATATTCACAAAGATATTCTTATATTTTTTTCTCAAACTTCATGGGTTTTCCTTTAATATTTAGATTTTGATCAAATTCAAATCAGTTATAATACATGATATGAGGTAGTTTTATTTTTGCATGAAGTTATTAAATTGAGCATCACTTATTGAAGTGACCGTCTTTCCTCTCTAATTGTGTTTTGCCTGTACTATATGGGTCTATTTGAGGATCAAGTAATGATAATTTTGCAGGATTTGGAGAAAAACTGGCTTGGAGCCCAAGTGCTGTGTTCTAGCAGTAAAATTGTGAATGGAAGTGATGACAACAGATGTTTTGGTCTTGTTTTGAACTTATATACAGCTATTTCTAGGAATTTTATATCTTCAACAGTAATTTATGAATTTATGGAGGCTGATTGTGGACTAGTTTGAAAAATATGACTTTCTTGCTGCCCAATTTTGGGGAGGGAATCCTCACCCTTGCATGATTGGGTTCTAGAGACTCCTCTGGGGCTTTCTTCATGACGATCAGAGAAAATTTTTCCAAGCTCAGGACAGGGGGAGGGAAAAAGTAACTGGTTTGAAATATAGAGCTTTCTGGTCTCTCCTTGGCCTTTTGAAAATTCTTACATCAGAGAGTAAATAATTCTTATCCAACTCCAGTTCTCTATGGTACCTTTTTTTTTTTTTTAAAAAAAAGATTTATTTATTTTATTAGGGAGGCAGAGTTACAGAGAGAAAGAAGGGAGGAGGGAGGGAGAGTAGGAAGGAGGGAGAGAGGGAGGGAGGGAGAGAGAGAGAGAGAGAAAGAGAGAGAGAAATCTTTTATTTGCTGGCCAAATGGCTGCAATGGCCAGGGCTGGGCCAGTCTGAAACCAGGAGCCTTCATCTGGGTCTCTTACATAGGTGCAGGGGTCCAAGCACTTGGGCCATCCTCCACTGCCTTTCCAGGTGCATTAGCAGGGAGCTGGATCAGAAGTGGAGTAACGAGGACTCAAACCTGTGCCCTTGTAAGGGATGCTGGTGCTATAGGCAGAGGCTTAAACTGTTGTGCTACAGCACTGGCCTCCTTTCTGATCTTCCTGTCTTACCTAAAGGGTGGAAAGAGTTGAGAAACCCTTAGGAAGTTCACAGCCTTGGGGACTAGGCACACCAAAGGTCTGTGACCCATCCATCCATACCTATAAAGAAGTCCTCTCCTCTCCTCTCATTATCACATCAGTACATCTGTAATATACTAATAGGGATTACAGCTGAAAGATTCGCCAGGCTCAGATGAGTTAAAAGAGTTTCTAGGGGAACCTTGTGATGCGTGATACCAGTATGGTACTACAGGATTGTGACACCTCAGATCTGTCAGCTACAGCCTAACAGTAAGTACAACGTAAGTGCTGGCCACATGCACAGAAAGCCTCACATGAAACACAGACTAAGATCTCACAAGGGAGCCCTATTTACAACTCAGTTCCTATTACCTAATCTATCACAGATGATTGCCAACAAAAAAATAACAAGGTGTGCTGAAAGTAAGACAGAATAAAGTCTAAGGAGACAAAACAAGCACCAGAACCATACTCAGATAGTGAAGATGTTGGAGTTATCAGACCAGGAATTTAAAGCAAGTGTAATTGATATGCTAAGGATTACAACAGAAATATGAGAGTGCTTCAGAAAGTTCTGTGGAAAAATGAAGTTAAAAGATAAGCTAATTTTGATGAAAAAAATTTTTGAAATGTACATGTATTTTTTCATAATATGCATTTTCATGAACTTTTCTAAAATCTCTTATAGTGGAGAACAAGTGAGAAAAGATGAGTAATGTAAGCAGAGAGATGGAAATTCTAAGGGGGAAGCAGAAGGAAATGCTGGAAAAACACTCCACTGTAAAATAAATGAAAAACGCTTTGATGGACTCGTCAGTCGCCTAGACATGGTAGAGGAAAGGAATCAATGGTTGTGAAAATATGTGAACGGAAATCTCCCAAACTACAATGCAGAGGAAACTAAATGGAAAAAAAATCAGACAGAATATATAGGAATTGAGGGATAATTACAAAAGGTATAGCATAAGTATTAACGAAAATACAAGAAGGTAGAAATGAACAGAAGAGATATCTGATACCATAATAGAGGAGAATTTTCTAAATTTAATGACACACACCAAACCACAGATAACAAGAATTTCAGTAAATACTAAGCAGGATAAATATCACACCTAGCTGCATCATATTCAAATACTAAAAAACTGGACCAAAAAAAAAACTATAAAGGAACATGAATAAGAATTTCATCAGACTTCTATTCAGAAACCTTGCAAGCAAGAAGAGAGTGGATTGGCAAATTTAAAGCACTGAAAGAAAAAAAAAATCCCATCAACCTAGAATTTTGTATGCAGTAAAATTTTCCTTCAAAAGTAATGCAGAGGGGCTGGCACTGCGGTGTAGTGGGTAAAGCGGCTGTCTGCAGTGCTGGCATCCCATATAGGTGCCAGTTTGAGTCCTGGCTGCTTCACCTGCAATCCAGCTCTCTGCTATCGTCTGGGAAAGCAGTACAAGATGGGCCAAGTGCTTGGGCCCCTGCACCCGTGTGGGAGATCTGGAAGAAGTTCCTGGCTCCTGGCTCCTGAATTCGGATCAGCCCAGCTCTAGCCATTGTGGCCATTTGGGGAGTCAACTAGTGGATGGGAGACTTTCTACCTCCCCTCCCCTCCCCTTCCCTCCCCTCCCTTCCTCCTCCTCTCCTCTCTTCTCCTCTCCTCCTCCTCCTCCTCCTCCTCCTCCTCCTCTCCTCTCCTCTCCTCTCCTCTCCTCTCCTCTCCTCTCCTCTCCTCTTTCTCTCCCTGCCTCTGCCTCTAGCTATGCCTTTCAAACAAATAAATTAAGCATTGAAAAAAATAATGCAGAATTAAAGACTTTCTCAAACAAATAAAACACAGAGAATTTGTTTCCAGTAGACTTGTCTTGCAAGATATGTTAAAGGAGTTATTCAGAGAGAATGAAATTAAATAGGTCAGAAACCAAGATCTACATAAACAAGGAAGAGCCTTAAAGAAGGAATAAATAAAGGTGAAATAAGACCTTTTGTTTTTCTTCTTATTAATTTATTAAATGGATAAATGCTTGTTAGAATGATAACACCATCATATTGACTATCCATAGCCTGGGGATAGTGCAATGAAATTAGCAATGTTACAAGGGATGGAAGGCAGGGAGAGACAATTCTCTATTATAAGGTGTCTAAACCACATATGAAGTGATACAGTATTATTTGAAAGTAAATTTAGACTAGTTGTTTGTATATACTGACAACTCTAGGGCCATCACTAAAAAATTTAAACTGAAGAATAGTTAATAGACTAAGAGAGGAGAGGAGAAAATAGAATCATATAAATGCTCAGCTAAACTCAGAGTAGGATAAAGATGAAGAAGATCACATATTAACCTATGCACAGAAAGCATTTGACAAAATTCCACACCATGCATGATGAAAGTTTTCAGCAAACTAGAAATAAAGGAAAGCTTGTTCATCTTGATAAAGAGTTAAAAAACTCACCTACTGACATCATATTGAATGGTGAAATGCTTTCTCCTTGAGATTAGAACAAAGCAAGGATAGCACTCCACCCACTCCAATTCTATATTGTCATTGTGTGGAAGTCCTTGCTAGTGCAATAACAAAAAAAGGGGCGGAGGAATAAAAAGTATACAGGAGTTGACATGATTGTGTAGAAAACCTCAAAGAATCAATTTACATGGTTAATATAAAATATTACTAATCATAGAAGGTTAATTGCTTTAAATATAGCAGCAATGAATAAGTAGAATTTGAAATTAAGATCATAACACCATTGACAGTAGCACCCAAACAGAGGAAGTGATTAGGAGCAAATCTATAGTAATATGTATAATATCCATATGAACAAAACTATGAAACTCTGATGTAAGGAATTGACAACCTTAATAGATAGCCCATGTTACAAATAGGAAGACTTAACGTTGTTAAGATGTCAGTTCTGGGCTGACACTGTGACATAGCAGGTTAAGCTGCCACCTGCAATGCTGGCATCCCATAAGGGCACTGGTTTGAGTCTAGTTGCACCATGTCTGATCCATCTACCTACTAATGCACCTGAGAAAGCAGTGGAAGATTGTCTTAAGTGCTTGGGCCCTTGCATCTATGTGGGAGATGGATGGAGTTCCTGGCTGTTGGCTTTGCTTTGGCCCGGCCTTGGCTGTTGTGACCATTAAAGGAGTGAACTAGCAAATGGAAGATTCTCTGTCTCTGTCTCAACCCCCTCTCTGGATCTCTGCCTTTTGAAGAAAGAAAACACAAATTTTAAGATATTTATTATTTTAAAAAAGATGTCCTCTCTCTCTCTTTCTCTCACTGTCTATAACTCTGCCTGTCAAAGAAAAAAAAAGATGTCAGTTCTTTCCAG